GCAATTAACCAAACCTTGGTTTAATATGTATGAAAATAGCATTCTTTACTGGACTACTTGAGTATTTTTGTTAAATGAAATTCTTTGTTGGATCCAGACCAAAATCTGGTATACGGTAGATCAGTGGTTCCCAAACTTGGCAACTTTAAGACTTGTGGACTTCAATTCTGGGAGTTGAAGTCCACAAGTCTTAAAGTTGCCAAGTTTGGGAACCACTGCGGTAGATCATGCTAAACTATAATGAGGTTTACTTCGGTCTAACTTAGCACACAAACCAGTCCAATGATGGATGATTCAATAAACTACCTAAAATACAGAGTAGTAGGATATATGGATCCAATTTTTACCTCCTATTGCCCGTCTACAACCCTAAACGTCTGTTTGGGATGCACGTGGGCTAAAAGCTTGACCAAAGTTTCTCAGCTTCTGGGCTTGTGTATGTTATTCTTGGAATTAAGTATTAACATCCCAGATGCATTCACAAAGATAAAATCTGAATCACTCATTTTTGGGGGTGGGGGGGAAGTATGGGAGGAAAGGACCAGGAAGTGAAGTTAGCTTGTCCCTCTGCTTTACCACAAAAAAAAAACCCCAAACATACAATTTACCTTTCAGGCTGACCAAATTTTGCCACCACTGTACAAGTTTGACACTTGTTTCAGTCTAACTTCATTTTAACTCTTTCCAGTTTGGGAAGTCATAGGAGAAATGCCTGCAGCACTACTGCTAGACAGCTAGATGAATCTTCTTCCCAACTGCCTATGTTAGCATGTAGTACCTGGCCAGTCTTGGCTGGATAGAAAGGTGAACAGGATTTGACTCGGTTCTATACTATATAGGAGACTTTCAGGAAAGGCACGAGTTTTGGTTAGATTGGAAAATAGAAATTAAAAAAAATAAAAAACAGTGGAAAACGACTTTCAAATTATTGCAAAAAAGCCATCTATATTCATTAAGTTATCAAGAATTGACATGGGGATGGCGCCTTTGCCATTATAATTACTAATCAAACTATTAATTAAAGAATATTCTCTGTGGTTGTAAAAGGATAAAATATTAAAGTGGACGCTGGGCTGCTTCATGGGGTGGGGACAAGGGATGGTTCTGGGGTGGCAGCGTATGCAATGGTGAGAGAGGTCAGAAGGTGTCTTTTAGAAATTTTTTAAAAAGCAGGAGTAGTGATAACTTTAGTCTCTGAATCTCTGGGAATCTAATTCCTGACCATAAGGCGAACTTCTTAAGCTGATGGTATTGCCATTTCTCCATCCTTACTATGTACCCTCTTTTACCACCCTACTGGATATTAACAAGCAACCAAGTTGGAGTTGGTGAATCATTTACTCAGGAGAAAATTCAGAAGAGAGTATAAAAGTTTTATTATTCTGGTCTATGCCTAACAAGGATATAGAATCCTGCACTGATAGACAAACACATAGCACTCAGTTGGAAAATGTTAAATGTTCTTCTGTGTAGAGACTGATAAATCCACAGGAACTTGTGTCTCTCCAGATTGCTGACAAACTACAGCTCCCAGCAAATCCCAGCCATTGTGGCTAGTAGGGATCTTGGAAGTTGAATGCTTTTATTTGTCCAGCTTTAGTTGGAAGTTACAGCTTAGTGGCTTCCACAAAGGCCAAACTTTCCTTAAGTAGAAAACTCAGAAAGAAAAAGGAGGGAAGGCAGGAAAACCAGATTCCCTTCTGCTATAGTTAGCTTTCTATTGCAGCATCCTAATTATGGACAATTTAAAGGAACCTCTTTTTTAATCATGTGTCTACTGGACTCTCATTAGTCGAAGTCCTAACCCTACTTTGCACTAGACTAGAAGGTCCCAGGAATGTCGTATTGAATATGTGGTACTAAGTTGCCTACGCTTCAGAAGGGAATGCCAACTCTCGACCCCACTACAGCTTCCATGCAGCTTTCATCATGTCGACAAAATATTCATCGCTGTCAATAGAAGCGCTGACTCCACTGTAGTAATTCAGGAATTCCTCATTCGTGATCTGTAGAGAAATACAAAGTAGATAGATTTTAACGTTTGTCCCTAATGACAGTACCTGATGTTTTATTGATGGTTCAATATACTTGGACAAAGCAGTACTTTTTACTGCAAAACTAAAAATATCAGTTAAAAACAAACCAATCAATTCAAATATTTGGGATTGGCAAAAATAGTAGTATTAGGCCATTCACCTTAATAGAAGAAAAGCACAGTATGGAAAAGGATGTGATGTGAAGAAAAGCAGCATTCACAAGTTCTGAACTACCTTCAAGCAGCATTTCCCAACCTTGGTCACCTGAAGATGTATGGACTTCAACTCCCAGAATTCCCCAGCCAGCAGGGGGAATCTTTAAGTGGCCAAGATTGGGAAGCACTGCCTTTGAGTTCTAAAAGGGCCCTGCACAATAATAATTTATGATCTGCAAATATAGTAAAAACTTGGTTTAACAGATTTTCATTCATGGATTTTGGATCCAATGAGCAACATTTGTTCTAGTTCCCTCCTCCCAAAATGCACCGAATCCATTTTATCCAAAATTGTGCAAATAATTCACTTGAATGTATTTATTCATTCAATTTATCTAGCCGCCCATCTCAAACAAATGACTGGATGGTGAGAAATTATAGAACAATTAAAAACAGTTACAGTACAATACAAAATCATATATAAGCCAGCCAATGTATTTAAAATACTATCAATTTATGTCATTTTCATCCTGACATGTGTTCTGAAATGGTCCAATTTATATATCAACTCATGTCATTTGCAAACAGAATGAATTGGCCCAACACTTAAATTCAAATGTAATGGACATTTGGAAACAACACACATACTAACATCTATCCTAGTGGTCTATTAATTCAAGGTTTTATTGTATATCTTAGATCAGCTTTCTCCAAATGACTGCCTTCAAATACCCACCAAATGTGTGTCTTTTTAAGTTTGATTAAAAAAAATAGTCTGCAACCACAATTATTAGAATGCCACACTAAGAAATCATTCTGGCTGTTTACCTTCCCATCCTTATCATCAGGAGAGTCAAAGCTCTCCAGAAAGGCACCGAAAACCTGATCTTCTGTCCACTGTCCACTCTTGAACTTGGGGTGGGATCGGCTGTTGTAGACCCCATGAAGATCCTCTACCGTCACCAATCCATCACCAGTCCTGTCCAATTTCTGGAATGCTTTTGCAATGATCTCTTTCCTGGTGTTGGACATAGGAGGCTAAAGAAAAGTAGTGAGAAGTCAAGCATGTTGGAGCTCCCTTATTATTATTATTTTGCAAGATTAATGGTTGACTCTCAGCACCTTTAGTGTTAGAAGAAAGCCTTTGTGGCTTTTCTGTGGTAATGTGGGAGACATATTGAAAAATTAGATGAAGGATCATCTAAACTGCCATGGGTCTTCTAGACAAAGAGATATGTTGATTCACACCAAAGAAGCATCTCACAATTTACATTTGTAAAGATTAAATAGAAAGAGTGGGGGAGGGATATGGACTTCAGTCAAGGCCCTGGGTCTTGGCTGGTGGGCAAGATTAGGCCAGGTATTCCCCATATCTGTTAAAATGATGAGACTAGTACATTAGCAGCTATTAGTTGGAAAGAGAGTCTTCATATATGGGAAGAATATATCACAGAATTAACAACGCTGAATTAGTTCCGATTTTCAGGATTCCGAATCGCCCATTGATGGAGTTAACTATCAGTTAAAAATCAGATGCTACATTAGTTAGGTCCCCAGCCACATTTAATAAGCATTTCCTATGTTTTTTTCAGGGTAATCTATCTCTGAATACCAGTTTCTGAGGAAAGGGGAGGAGAACAAATAACAGGAGAAACTATGGCTTCTAATGACCACTTGTCTTCCTCACGTGCCTTCAGTGCCAGCTCAGCCTGCCAATTCAAATGTAGAAGTGGATTGTTTTATTTACCCTCAGGGCTTGCAGGAATTCAGTGAAGTCCAGGGTACCATTCTTATTTTTGTCACAGAAGCTGAAAATCTCTTCTGCTTCACCCCTTTCCAAAGGGACCCCAGCATCCTGGAGACCTTTCACAAATTCCTCCAGATCCAAAGATTTGCTGCCGTTATCATCCATGATGCGGAAAAATCTGCAAAGAATGCAATGTAATATAGGCATGTGAGTGAGTGCTTTGTGCGTGTGTGTGTGTGTGTGTGTGTGTGTGTGTGTGTGTGTGTGTGT